TCACACTACGGTGGGGTTTGCCAAGGAGACCTAAAACTGGGATGTCCACCCTTGGTCTTCCAGAGCCAACTCTCAAGGTCAGCAGTGACTCCTGCAGGGCTGTGTTAAGAGGGACCCAGAGGCTGACAGCTTGGTGGGAACGTGTCCTCTGCTGACAGCACAACTGCTCTTCCCAGCTCACAGCATTGCTATGTTGAGACGACTGCTCCATCACTAAGAGCAGAGCCTCATGCAAAAGGACACGCCTCTGGCAGCTGAGTTTAGACGTCACACACCTGGAGAGAAGAGACTGTATGTCTTTGCTATGGAGGTCGCCACCTAGGGATGGCCAGCCTTCTCTCCCTCCCCTCAAGCCAGTCAAGAAAAACCTCAAATCCCAAGCTGCATTTTTATTATTTTTTAATAAACTTTATTCTATATTACAAATAATTTTTTTTTGTTCTGAACTGCAAAATAGGAATGCCTTATATTTACATACACAGGTATACAATTAATTATAACAAAGGTACGGAAGCTTGCCTTTACCAAGTTACAACTGGGCTCCAATTTAAATAGCATAGGTTTCCTTCTTAAAAACTTTTTTTTTTTTTAAATCTTTTTAAAATCTTACTAGGATACTCTTCTTTAAAAATCAAAACCAGAAGACCCTCTTCTTCTAATAGATCTCATCCACCTATCTTCGAGGCTCATTATAACACTGTTTTCTAAAGATATGTTTTGCTTTGTTCTAACCGAGGGTCAGTGTTCAAGGTGGGAGCTTTATGTTGAAACAGAAGTGGGGCAGAACTGGAAGGGGGAGACTGGAACAGAAATGACCTGCCCTACCTCCTTCACCAGCCTCTAAGACTCAAGGACCCCTGCCAGTTCCCTACGCCAGCCATGTGTTCATTCCTCGTTCTCCTCTTCTCCTCTAGTACTGAGGCTTCATTTGGGGTCATCTGACCAGGCTGAAATCCCTGATCTCCACCTCCCCACCCCCCCACTCCCCCACAGGCACACACCTCAGCTGGCTGAACCATGGTCTGTTATGGTACCCTGGAGTCGTTGGTTGCTATGGTATCTTGGCAGCTCCCCCACCTCCCAGAGGAAACAGGCTGGTCCCTACATACTGAAGCGGGGAGGAGGGCAGCTGCATCCCTTTCTTCCTCCATATCTCTGGGTCTGCAGGCCTTGTTCTTGCTCAGGGCAGCCTCCACAGGACTAAGCGACGACCTCATGCTTCAAGGACACCAGGCACAGACGGGGAATGGTGGAGGGAGAGTCATCCACTCTGAACACACAAAGTCATTGGTTTCCAAATGGAAACAAGATTCTCTGAGGTAAATTAGCTTCTCTTTTTCAAGAACGGAAGGCTTAACAAGCCCACAAGCTGACAAGAATGTCAGGGAAGGGAGAGAGAAGGGGGACACATATTCCACCTTCGTCCTGTGCCTGGCTCGCGGCTGACCCCTGTGCATGTAAGTGTTCCTTAGTCCTGTTGGTCAAGGGGTCTCAGTTTCTTACATGTCCTCTGGGTTGCTCTTTAACTGTATCCTTTGTTTTAAATTCTACTCTTAAGGGAACCCTTCCAAAATGTGCTTGAGTCATAGGATCAGAGATATTAACAAAAGAAGTTCTAATTCCAGATTTAAAAACAAAAAAGCAGTGGAAGATGAGCTGCGTAGACTTACCGACGTGCTTTTGCGTTCTCTGAGGGGGAACTTGCCCCCTGCCCCAGCCAATCCCTAATAGGGTCTCCCTGCCCTTTAGGGGGTGCTGGCGAGAATTGTGTAGGATTGAGCAATACCAGGGGCATCCCAGAACCAAGACTAGACATTAATAAAGGGGGTGCCATGAAGGCAGGGTGAGTCTCCCCCAGCCAAATACACCTGGCTCACTGGGCTGGCCTGCTTATATCTGCCAATACAAACAGAACGTTCTTTTTGTTCGCTAAGAATTTTGTTTTGTTTCATTCAGGTTTGCTTTAGACACCAGTCTACCTAAGGAATTTAACTGGAATTCTAATGAGTGTGCACTACTTTTACAACTCAAAAAGCCTATATATTTTTAAAACTTGGATACTCCCCCTAATAAAAAAAATAATTTTATTGGGGAGCAAAGATTTGTAGGAAAAAAAAAAAAACTCTCTTGAACGTCTGAAACGTTCACTACAGTGATCACTTTCCACATGGGAGGAATGGTCAGTCAGTTTCCAGTTGGGGGCTTTGCAGCCCTTGGAGCACCATGAGGAGCAGAGGCTGGCGACTGTCCCAGCCTCTCTCAGAAGCTGCCTCTTCCAGGTCCACTGTGGCTGTACCTCAGCCTCCAACTCTGTAAAATAAGGCTCTTGTTTGCTACATGCAGAGTGCCTGTGGGTGAAGTGGCAGGAGCCAGGAAGAGAAGGGGTAGCATGGCCAGCTCTAACGTCAGAAGTCCAGGGGGGAAGCCCCAAGAATATCAGCAGCCATGGAGGGTGCTTCCCCTAGCAGGGCCACATTCAGGGAATTCCTGACCCATCTAGTAGTAGGGAAGGCTCCCCTGGCCCTGAGGCTCTCCTCATCCCCTTGGAAGTCAGGAAAAGAATTTTGTCCCTGTTCCCCCAATCCACCAGTAATTTGGACATTAAAATCAATATCTGGGCTCTCTCCTTGCTCTAAAACTCTTAAAATGGTCAAAACAAAAAAACAAACAACTAAACTCTAAATAAATAGCCTCTGAGAGCCTTTTATATAGGGAGAGGCTGAGGGCCAGGGACTTCCAGTCACATGTCCTGAGAGCTGAGAGAAAGAAAGGGTGAGGGGCTGGGACAAAGGCCAAAGGGAGCCAGGCCATAGAGCTGCCTGGGTAGGGTCTCCTCTAGGGCTTGGTGAGGCCATGGAGGTTCCTTTCAGAGGCCTTTCTGAGCTTGCTGGGCCTGCCCACTGGGGTAGCCTGTTCTGGGAGAGCCAGGAGAGGAGTGTCTTTGGGCCTCCCGCCTATACAGGCCTCCTGACCTCTGTCTCTCCCTCCCTCTTTGGTTATCTGAGGTGGGAGGCTGCTATTGGCTCATGACAGTACCAGCCCTTTGCTCTGGGTAAGGATCTGACTTCCATCCTGTGAGGTCAAAACTGGAGTCCCCTCTGTCCTGGAAGGGAAAACAGATGGAAACAGGACTTTGCAGTTTAGATCAAAGTGAGTGGTGCTTTGACCCGGCCTCATCACAGCATCGCTCAGGAGTCCGGAGGCCTCATCAGAGACCTGGCTCCTGGAGTGGCGGTCATTTGGGAAGTCTTGCCCAAGGCTCCTCTGACAGGGGACACGCAGGGTCTTGGCTGGATAAGGGAGACTCAGATGCTCAGGAAGGCAGTTTTGCGTGGGTGGGACTGACTGGGGTGGTCCCAGAGGGCAGGTCTGAGAGGGCTAAGCAGCTCCTACGTTTGGGCAGTCAATGTTTTTGGGGTGGGGGCTACACGTGCAGGATGGACAGGAGGGGCAGGGAGGATGCCGGCTGCTAAGGGAGGGGCGCACTTGGAAGTCAGACATGCAACAGGGGTCATGGGCACCAGGGCCCTAAGAGATGGGCTGGGGGTGGACAGTACATGACACTAACCCCTGCTGGGAGGTAGGAGCCAGGCCTGTGGGGACCAGATCAGAGACCTTCCCTGTGGCAAAAAGGTACTATCTCCTGGGATCAGTCCTGGACTGTCTCCCTCACACTTTGGGGCTTAGTTAAGGGGTTGCTAAAGGTCCCCACTCGGGCATCTCTGAGCTCTTTCTCTGGCTGGGGCCCATGGGAGGGAAGCTCTATATTAGCCTAGGGTGTGTGTGTCCCGCTGGGGTTGTACCGTATGTTGGCCTGTGAGGCACTCCAGTTATCCTCTGTCCCCAGATTTAAACCCACGTCGAGAGAAGAAGGCAAGAAAACATTTTCCTGAGGAAGTAATAACGCAGTAGCCGATTTCACCTCATGGCACTACGTGTGGTTAGCAGGACATGGGTCTCAGGGTCTCCCCTTAAGGGAAGGACAAAGAATGGGCAAAGCCCACAGCTGGGGTGAGTCGTGCCCCTGGAGAAATGGCCAGCCTGCAGTTGTCTCTCAGGGTTTTCAATTCTGGGTCCCTGTGAGGTCCCATAGAGCACCCTCTCACACACAGACACACCCAACCTTCAGCCGTCTCCCACTGACATTCGAACTGCCCACCTAACCTAGGTCAGTTATTTTGGTTACGTGATCTGGTGCCATTTTGACTCTGGGGTCTCAAGGTGGGGATGTGGGTACAAGGGGCCAGGTAAAGGCAAAGAGTGAAGGGAATCATCTTTTCTTCTCTGCCCTTGGCCCAGGACTCAAGGGGTTACATAAAGGTCTCACCTTCAACAGAATTGTGACCCTGCAAGTTTACTTTGACACACAGGGAGGTTGCAAGGGGACCTCAGTTCCACAGGATGGGGTTTGCCCAATTCCCTTCTCTCTGGGGACCCACATGCCACTTGGGCAGCTCTCTGGGTCTCTGGCCTGCCGAGGGAGCTGGAAGATCCCAAGGGGAGAGTTTGGAAAGAAGACTTTGGAGAAAAGAACAGCGTTTTGACAACATTTGCCTGTCTTTGCTTTTGAATGTATCACGCGTGCACCAAGAATCCAAACGGAAGAAATGGCAATCAAACAAATAGCAAAAGGAAAGAAAATTTTCCAGGCAAGAGGGTTGTGGCTCTGGAAGATTCTACCAGATTCCTCAATATCCGAACAGGCCACAGAGACCACGGGGGAACAAAGCTCCAGAAATCTGCCCCCAAAGCCTCCCTGAGGACAAACAAGGAGAACCAGGGAACTTGTCTGTCCTTCCCCCTCTTTCATCTTGACAGTCGTGTTTCTCTGAGGTGTTTGAAGTTTTTGTTATAACAAACAAAATAAAACAAAACAAAATGGGGGAAAAAAATCCTGTACCGACAAAGTAACAATAATAATCACTCAGTAAAAAATAAAAGCTCCAGCAGAACCATGATAACAGTCTTTTTTTTTTCTGCTTGTTCATTTTTTTTTCTTGAACTGTGCAAAACTTAAAAAATAAATCAAAACACACTCACTCATACACACACTCACACGTGCACAGCTTCCATCCAGCAAATATCTGTGTTAAATATGTTCGTGTCTCTCTTCTCTCCAACCCTTCTTATGTGCAAAAATATTTTCATGGTTGAGGTGCTACCTCAGCCACCTCCCACACACATCATTTCTGGACTGCCCAGTCCCGTGGATTCCAGGGAGGAAATAAGAATAGAAATGCCATATTTCTCCACCCGGTACTTCATTTGCCAAAACCTTTGGTTATTTTTCTTTCCCCTTCGAATGCAATCTTTCCCTGTTGCCCTCTTCCTGTTTGTTAGGTTACTTGTGTCTTTTCCACCAGTTGTTTTCTGTGATGCCACCTGATGCCCTGCTTGGGGTCAGCATAGTCCAGGCGTTGGCAGGTGGCCACCCTGATTTCCTGTGGACAGGGGACCTCTCCTTCCACCCGCCAGTACTCAGCATAGAAAACAAGCATTGTGATGTCTTGAAGCTGCAGGATGAATTGATGAGTAGGTAACAGAGAAAGGGAAATGCTTCGAAACCCTCCTACATAGGGCAAGAAATCTTTCTGAGCCCTCTCCCTACTCCTAGGGAACACACACACACACACACACACACACACACACACACACACGGTCACCTCCAAAGGACTGGGTTCTTAAAAGGTTAGGATGCTCCTTGGACTTCGCTGGAAATGATGTGGCTCCTTCCTCATGTGGGAAAGGCATATTTAGAACAGATGACTAGCAATGATGGCGTCTGATGCTCAAGTGTAAAGGCAAGGCTGGACTCATCCTCATCCTCAACTCCACCTTAGGCGATGCTTCTCCCATCTCCCAGAGTGGCACATGACTCGAGACCAGAGTTGCCAGGAGAGACTCTTGCCAACGGTGGGAGACTGGACCCATTAAGGTCTCTTCAACAGTAGAGGTGCCTATGACCTTCCATTAGACCATCTCTCCCCATAGCCCTGCTCACCTGCTCTCTGTTTGTGAGCACACATTTGCTTGCCTGGCTAAACAGTGTATCCATAGATGGGAGGACAGATGGAGATGGATACCAGGGCCCACATCATTTGTATGTCCCTCCTCCCACCTTCAGCCAGGTCTATCAGCTTGATTCTTCTGTCCCTCCCAGACATGACAAGAGGGGCCTGAGGTTGGCTGGCATTTTGGTTTGTTTTGCGAGGCTGTGCTTGTGCATGTTTCTTTCAATGATGACAATGAAGGAGAATGACTAATGAGACAGCTGAGATGTTGATGAAATAATTTCCAAGGAGGTCTGAGCAGTCCAGTGACAGAGTCACCTGCATAGCAATGGCACCAGATTCTAGACTTCTGTGGAGGTTGCAAGAAGGATGGTGGGGATGGAGCCATGGAGACGGCTGGAGGTAGAATCTCCTGGACTCACTATGCATTTCATGCTGACTTGTGAGGAAGGCGACAAAGCACGATGGAGATGCTCTTTCTAGACAGCACTCGAGGCTCTGGCAATAGCCTGGACCTATGACCATGGTTGCGACTCATTTGGATTTGGGGGTGAATGGAAAACAACCAGTTCTGCTTCCAAGGTAGCTCTCTTTCCTTTTCTCCCCTTCCATGTTAAATTCCCACTATTAGGAGCCAGATTAGAAGGTTAGGAGCATCTCCATGGTGGAAGGTAACTACTATTCTTTTCCTGCCTTGCTTTCCACAGGAAGGAGAGGAGCCTGGGCAGGCAGGTCCCTATGAACACATGGAAGGACTCCAAGGAGACTGAAAGGGGACAGGAAGCCTCTGAATGCCAACCGAACAGGCAAGAGGCAGCCCCCAGGAGCACCTCCCAGCAATACACACGCTCCCCACTCTAGCTGTATGTAGGAGGTGTGGCCTTTCTTCTCACGGTTGCAAAGTGACCAGACCACCAACTGGCCTGTTGGAGATGGAGCTGTGGGAAAGGAGAACCAGGTGTTGTCTTCTCAGAGAAGATAATACTGGGCTCACTGTCTCTTCCCTAGGCTGAAATTCAGAGCAAAGCGGGAGCGCTCGAAGTAGAAGGTGAAGTAGCAGCACAGAAACGTCCTCTGTCCTTGGCTTCTCATCTGTACTTGGGCCCTGTTGCTGATGAGGGGGGTCTGGAGCAGCTGAGAGAGAGAGTCCCCCCTCTGACATTGGTCAGGTCCCTCGCTGTGGGCCTGGCCACCCCTGGACTTAATGGAGGATCAGTGGCTTGGTCCAATCATGTTGGCAGAGCAACTGAAAGAGAAGGGATCCAGGAAGGAGGGAGAGACAGAAAGAGGCAGAGAAAGAGAGAGAGAGAGAGCGCTGCTCAGGGGCTGCTGCTGATGCCAGTGGGAACTTGCACTTGGTAAAGATGATAATCTAGACTGAGGCACGGCTTGGTGTGTCCCTCCCTCCAGGGCGGCCCTGGAAGGACGGTTCTCAGCTGTCTAAGCTCATGAGGGTTATGACTTGTTCTAGTTTGTATGCCAGTTTCTGCTTCCCACACTGGTCGTCGTGGTCCAGAGGTCCGAGGATCTGTTAAAGGACCAAGAACAGGAAGGTTACTAGTTTGTGAGTGTGTGGTGGTGTTCCTACATGCATGTGGATAGTGTGGACACGGGTAGAAGGCTGGGAAGTCATGTATACATACAGGTGCACATGTGACATTGCTGGGAAAGTAGGCAGCCTGGGTAACATGGTGGGAGGTGTGGGAGGCTCTTGGGCACAGAGTGTGGCATGAGGGCTTCCAGTGGCACGGAGCACAGCATGCCAACATGCATACCCCCATGTCTGGATAAACACATGCATTCTGGTGCCTATAAGCGATAGCTGGCAGAGGGCAGAAGCTTTGTTGAACACACCTGTGCAAAGATGCTACCGTTACCTACAGGGCAGATAGTTCGATGGCCAATGTAAAAGCATGGTTCTCAGTGTCTAGTGGGAATGTGAATTTCCAGATATTAAGAAATCCCACCCCTCCTTCCAGAAGAGAAAATCTTCCCTATCAGCTCCCTGAGGTCCCAGTTCCACATTTCAAAAGTCGTTTGGTTTAACATTACCTGTTACAAAAACACGTATATCTTGTAGCGTAGACTGTGAGCTTTACTGGTCATTAAGAGCTACTGGATAACCCACCTACGAAAACCTCTTCTGAGATCGCAGAGTTGGCAGAGGACACTGGTAATCAGCCATTGTGACATGTGATCAAACATGTGTTCGAATTTGACACTCAAAAGAGAGGCAGTTGAATAATGACTTTGCCAGTTTATAACTGGATGATCTGGAGCAAAACATGAAGACTCTCTGAACCCTGCACCCTCCCCTGTAAAGTTTAGAAATACGTGATCTCTCTCGGGTCTGTGGAGAAGGTAGTGTCAGATAATATATGTGAGCACCTTTGGCAATGTCTGATCCCAAAACGTCACTAGACAGAGGTGGGATCTACCAGTGCTGGGGACCTGGGGGACATTGAGGGAGGCTCTCAGAGGTGTGGACTTTATGACCTGGTTAATGCCTTTTTAATTGAGGAAGCCTCGGTGGAGCTGCTGACTTTTGAGATGGCCAAGAACTGTCATTTCCTGACACCATCATTTCATGAAGACACCGAGAGTATGTAAGTGTACTTGGAGACCAGGGTGGCCCAAGATGAGGGTGTGGCAATCTTACACTGACACCCTTTGCAAGTGCGTCATCATCTCTCCTTACCACAGATGGGTAAGAACTGAGCCCTGCATGATTGCTGAACATTAAGGTCCCTCTTATAAGGGACTCACCACTAGCTTTCCTTTGACGTGAGGGTTACAGAGTTAAGCTATTCATGGTCTGCAGGACACTAAACCCCGGGCTCTGCTATGGTGTCCTCTGTAACTCGAGGTTCCCAGATTGTCTCTGAGTGACAAGGCTGTGGGGAAACAGAGGCACTGCCTTCAGGGCACTGGCTTTAATTCCCATTCTGCTTGCCACTCAGGGGAGGTGACTATGCTTTTCCTCAGATGCTGTTGATCTGGGTTCTGAACCACTCTGATCCACAACGTCCCTCCCAGAGCACCTTTGTACTGGCATGAAAGACAGCAGTGTCTACAGAGGCAGTTCCCCTCGGCAGAGTTTTGCCACTAGGGTACACAGCACCTAAAAACACATTCTAATCCATTCTGTTCCTATTCCATTCTGTTCCATTCTTTTCTGATATTATTCTATTCTATTCTTATTCTTTTTCTAGTTCTATTTTATTTTATACCATCCCTACCATACTATACCATACGGCCTGCCCGTGGGATAAAGAAGTACTTGTTTAAAGAGAATTAGATCTGAGAGAAAAACAAAAACAATAAAAAAGATAGTGAGAAAGAAGCAGGAATAAAAATAGAAAGAGAGTAAGAAGACCCATTTCTGTATCTGAGAAGAACAGAGGTTAGTGCAGAACTTAGGGAATGGAGTGTTCCCAGCACCCAGTCTCTGTAGCACAGCCCCCATCTCCTGGGCGGTGGAGGGTTTCCCTAGACTGTCGCCCAGCTCCTGGCCACCAGGGGCTTAGGCGTGTGTGCGTTTGTATGTGTGAGAGAGAGGGGTGTGCTTGTACACGCAAACATACAGGTTGTTCCCATCTCTGCCCCCTTCTTTCCCATCATGCTCCGGCAGGGCAGAGCTCACCTCCTCGCTGTACTTGCCCACGTAGGAGAAGATCTCCGAGAGTGCACTCATGGTGTTGAACTCGTTCATGTGCATCCGGGACTGCTCGGCCAGGTAAGCATTCATGTCCTGGTCGCTGATGGCCGGCATCTTCCCAATGTCCGAGTAATATCTGCCAAGGGACAGCAGTGGGAGAAGAGGCTGAAGTTGTACACGCAAAGTGGAGAAGACAAATGGACCCTCCGGCATCAGGTCTAGGTCCATGGGCCCAACTTGTGCTCCTGCTTGTGGGTGCCTGTGCCGTGACCTCCTTAGACCACAGTGGTCTTTCTCCCACTGGGGCTTCAGGGTCTGCCCCAGGAAGAGCACACTGCAGCTCTGTGTGCAGGAGACAGAGGGAAGGGACTTGAGGGTGGCTGAAACATGGTTGGAGCATGGACAGGAGAGGGACCAGGAGTTACAGGGGCTATTCCTTAGGCACCTGCTCTGCTCCCAGCCACTCGCACAGAGTGGTCCAGTTTGTTTTCTGTCCCTCTGACACCCATTTCCATGACCCCAAGAGATGGCCTTCAACAGGCCCCCAAGGCTCTTCTGAGCATTTGCTCTCCCCTGATGTCCTCCCCCCCCCCCCCCCCCCCC